ATCAGACTGTGTTGTATTTGAACACTGCTTGTCTGGCATTTTTACACAAATATGTAAAGCCAGTCAATCTCATAGTGAAGCATAATTTAGACTAATGAAGCAATTATACGATTAATATGAAAAAAAATATATTTTGCAAACTAATCAATATGATTTTGTTTAGGGTCCATATTCATACTAAATATCCAGCCTTAACCCATAATTTAATATTACATTATCATTATTATTCATTATACAACTTTGACTTATTTGTTATTTGCTTCTGTATCAGTATCATTTCTACATGAAATATTTGTTTTGTTTAAACTACAGGGGGAATACGGGGAGGGTGGTGGTGGGGAGAAAAATGTGTTTTAACAGAAATGACAAAACTGTGTTACTGGGTGTAAACACCGAACACTGTAGATGTTTAGAGAGAAAGAGATGTCAGACAAATGCAAACTCAGTGACAAATGTTTATGTATTTGTAATGAATATCACAAAGTAAAATATTCAGTTTTCATTAAACTAAGTCTTTATCAAGTTGAAATGTGAGACAAAATGTATTCACTGTATACATTTATGATGATTTACATGATTTATACATTAATCTACTTTGTTTTATCATTTAACCTAATAATCCTAAAAAAGTACAATTCTAAATTTCCGCCATATAACAGACAGTAATAACAGTGACAGCGTATTACGAGCAAACTGTCACATTCACTACGATGTGTGTGTAATTTTAGTTGTTTTCTTGACAGCCATTTTGCTCTCAGATGATTCACTGACTGCACACACTTGACCATTCAGGACATGGCAGCTTGTGTCTCACTGTAATCATTACATCACAATCAAGTCACTGGAACTAGTTTCTCACCCAATCAGCTGAAGGAGATTGTACAGTAATACATCAGTTCCTATGACTTCCAAGTCACATCCTTTCCAAGACAGCATGAGTCATAAATTCTAGTCAGAAAATCCACAGCAAGTAGTTCACTATGTAGAGCAGCAATTAATAAAGTTAATATTTCAGATTTGATTGGAAAGAAATGTCCTGCCACGCCATTAGATTTTTTCAATCTCTCTGATCCTCAATATTCACATACGCCATGATGCATTCCTTCACTTAATCACCTTCTATGCTATCCTTCACTCTAAATGGATTCAAAAACTTGTTGCCCTTTGCTGAAAACTGAGTACCTGTCACACTGCCCTCTTAATACTCATGGTTCATGGGGTTTCAGTGTTTGCAGGTGGTGTCTTGCATTAAAAAGCCTTGGTAGTCATTGCACTACTGTAATAAAAACCCAAGCATTTAACATGCACATTTATGGTCCTCAATAACCCAGAAGTCTTAATAAAAATGAAAGCTGACATTGGCATGAAGGATCCTCCACACTAGCTGTCTTTAATGTCCAAGACGTTCCATTAAAAGGGGAGCACTTCCTCAGAAGCGGAGCTTTTATCCTGATTGCTTACAGGAAGAGAAGAAAAAAAAAAAGAGAAACCAAACGACCTTCAGCGGCTCCACAACCAGCCCTTCCCTCATGTGTGCTCCGTGGATAGATACGCCTGTGTGCACATATGTGGACAGCTGGGATACGCACAGTGATGCACACATGTGAGTAAGAATAGAGAATCTTCTCTGTCTCTGAGAAGGGAGAAAGATATATATCCACTCTCTTAGATATATATGTAGAAATACACATGTCTGAGTCACTGGCTACTTGGTATTCTGTTCCTGTGCAGAGAAGCCATCTCACTTTTTATATCATAATGATTATTAGGAGATAGGGAAAAAGCCAAATCTGCATGTTCAATTAGTGCCTGCGCGATGCCAGATAGATAATACATGGGACTGGCTAATGTCCTTGCTTCTGAACTTCTTCAGCTGTTTTCTGTTTGAAGCCAGAGAAAAAGAAGATGGGGACGGAGATTTCCCTCTGTGGGACCACAACTGTTGAGCTACATTTAATAAGCTGGTCAAAAACACTCTCCTGCCGAGAGAGACTGCGCTTTTAATGACCATTCTGGTTCCAAAGTCTCAGATGTGCAGCTAGATTGCTTGCCACAAAGCAGACAAGGCAGCCATCTTATTAATAGCAACACACCACACATGCTGCAGACTAGGGAGCAGAAACCCAGAGAGAGAGAACGACACGCTGGCACATGGAGAGAAAGCGTGTGTCCCTCGCATGCTTTTACTGTCTGTGAAGGCAGGGAGACAGATGGGTGCAGTGAGGAGGAGATTAGATGGAGGAGGCAGGGCAGAGACCGGGGTCTAAAAAATCCAGCCCTCACGAGAGGACGTCCAGGCCAGCCTCCATGCAGGCCAGAAGGGGGAGGGGGGGTTGTGTGATGGATGTACCCTGTGACTGGAGCCCTCGGCACGCCCACATGGAGACGACACCAAGGCCAGGCCAGAGGAGCAGGCAATCAAAGAGAGAGGCCGTAGGGCTAGGATGATATAGGAGGATCCAGCTTATTAAATAGGCTTCAGGAGGAACATGGAGCATCTGAAGTAAGTTGTCACTCTGCCTCCAACAGGCATAAAAGGAGTCTCTGTTAGATGGAAAGTCTATGCACTGTAGGCAGTGATGACAGACTGTGTACAGTAAGAGTGGGAATACTGTCATTAAACACACCGACACACCAGGGAGCTCCGGAACAGTGTGTCATTGCTGATTTACTTTTTCTTTTTGTCTTTTCTTTTTTACCTGGGCTTAGGTGAAGGAAGATGTTTGTGTACAATTGTGTGCACGTGCGCGCTTGTAGACATGTGTACTCTATGTTATAATATCATATCTTATGCTACTCCTGAGTTCAAACACGCCTGATTCAATGTGACACCACTACTTCTATTTCTACAGATTGAGTATGAATTTTTATTCGCAGGCAAGTCGAAATAAAAAGTCAAATCAAGAGATGGCAGTGGGACCACGATACATTGTTTATAATCTTGTTTCCTGACTTAATTTCCATTCATTCAGAGTGCAAACTAGGAAACTCAATATAAGATGCTCTTCCTGAGATGCTACAGTAGAAAATGATTACAGAAATCCATTACTAAAGGCCACCTGAAACCAGGTGTGCTCATGCCACAGTGTATAATTCATTTGATTATAGATTTTTACTTCAATTTTCACCTCTATTCGGATCCAGTCACTTTGATTCCTTTCTTGTTTATTGCGTTGTCCTGGCAACAAAGACATACTACCAGTTTTTCACTTAAACTGGTAAGACTATAGGAGAGGAGGAGGAGGATGAGAAGAGCAGGGGTAGAGTACAGCGGAGATTGTGAAAGCAGGTGCAAAAAGACATTTCTTCACTTGGATTTCCTGTCACATCCTGCAGCCCACTCCAGTCCTAAACTTTATATAATTACAACAATCTGTGCTCCGAGAGAGACTGTGTGAAATCTGATTGCCATTGGTAACATTCGCAGCAAGAGTCCTGGCGTGATAGAAGGCTTCCTGTTTCAATTTCCTAGGATCCCTCAAGTTTTACTGGCTCTTTTTTTTATCCCATCAGTGGGGCATACATTTCCATTCAGGGGAAAAAACAGACCCGGTAATATCCAATTTACTAGGAGGCAGAGGAGATGGTTTCACTGGCAGTATAATAACATGCTACATGGAGCGTAGCATTATGGAGTATGAATAAAAAAGGCATTTATGGTAAAAATTCAATCCAAAAGCAGTCATCATTCATCGGAGGAAATCAAGGCAATTAGTAACACTTTAATGCAAATTGGAGAACGCAAAACACATCACAAATCCCTGGCACTGTAATGGGGACCAAAGAAGAGCAGCTCAAATGACCTCTTTCAAATGCACATTGGAGATTTCACTCTGCCTAGTGACAAGAAAAAGAATTGTGTGTGTGTGTGTGTGTGTGTGTGTGTGTGTGTGTGTGTGTGTGTGTGTGTGTGTAAGAGTATGTGTGGTGGATAGCTTTCTGACCACAGTACTGCCTAAAACCTATCCTCTATTTAATGCAAGAGTGATTTCTTTAATGCAATTCACTTCCATGTAATGTACAGCAAAAGCCCCGTGTTACATTTCTAACCCTGTGTGTCCAAAGCAGCATGTTTGTGGCTTGTTAACATGTTCCCAACCAGGCTGTATGCGTGGCTGAATGTAAAGATTTCTCATTTAGAATATTACCACCACATAAACAGTTCAGGAAAACATACACATTGCTCCAGAACAACACCTCCATATCATGATAGCCTGTCATGTACACAACACCGCTATCAATTAAACGCAAAACAAACAGCCAGCTTTTAAACGGATGGACAAGTACGTGACTGAGTGTAAAAATTCCGGGTTAAGGATGATGTGGCTCTGCAGGGTTAACAACAGTTAAGCCAAAGCACTTCCTGCAAGAACTTACTTATAAGCAGTAAGGCTCTATCTTAATTCAGTGATGCATTAGGAGGAGCAGGAGAATGAGGGATGTTTATCGCATGTCCAGGTTAAACGCGCATGCTGCATTTAGTATTAAAGACATGGCCAACATGGGCAGTAAATCATCATGAAGTAGCATTAAGGTAGCCAGCAGATAAACAACATCGCCTACAAAGAGAACAGTGTGAGTGTGTGTGTGTGTGTGTGTGTGTGACATTTATCATGACTGTGGATGCCACTAAAAAGCTCTCCCTGGTACACCATGTCCTTTTGTATCTTGCTTACCAAGATGCATTATACCTACATGTTTATTTCTGACACAGAAAGGGATACTAGCAAACCAGCAGAGTACATCAAGTCCCACTTGAAATCTGCCGTAGAGTTTCAATTTCTGGATGGGAATGAACATCGCAATCATTTAAATGCAAACACCTGCTTCTTAAAGCATTTGTTATGCTGCATAGTACAGTAGAACACATTACTCAATAACTCGCTAGCTGCATCGCCAGTTTCTAATATCAAGCAGCCTACACACCGGCAGGCATGAGCTCCACAGCTGTATCCCCCCACCCCCCCCAGCCCACTCCCTCGCTCTCTGCTGTACTGTACCTTCAGAGTGGTGGGAGAGGGTGAGCAGGCTGACGCAGGAAGCTCCAATCCCAGAACCAAACACAGTGATGCGGTTGGAGTCTCCGCCGAAGAAGCCAATGTTCTCGCTGATCCACCTTAAAGCCTGGATCTGGTCCAGGAGCCCGTAGTTTCCTTTAGCAGCCTGGTCGCCAGTGCTGAGGAAGCCTGCAGCACACACAGAAATGATGAGATTAAAAACTCAGACAGAGACAGCTAATTAAATAAATCACATGGTTATGCATACTGAAATGTGCACTTGACCAACATAAAAAAAGGAAGGTAGTCTGAAACTTGCACATGCAATATGGAATTTATTTTCCATGGATAAAAGGTTTTCTCCAATGGCTAACCCAATCCCGACTTTGTCAAAGAAACCATCATGTCAGGTGACAGCAGCGGTGAAATCATGACTTATTGGATGACACGGCTGTTGGTAAAATAGGAGTGCGTGTGACCACATGTCATCTGCACCTTATGGGAAATCAATGCCATGTCTCCCCGGGTGAACACCCATCATCAGATATATTGAGTAGTCCAGATGAAAACCTTACAAATCTATGAAAACTCTGCAGACAGAGAGAGAGAAAAAGACCTGATAATAAGATTTAAATTAATTTTGATGCTTTAAAACCCTCAATATGGACAGCAACTGCATTATATATGCAACCAGTTGCCACCTTCCTCTGACATATTTTGATTCTCTCTTACATTCTAAACATTCACAACAGGCACTGTCTGTGTAATCTGCTATATGATGTCTGAGTTGGACAGTGGGTTTCTCTTGGGTACATCAGAGCTCATGTTAACACACCACCCTCTCCCAGCTGCTCTCCGGGGCCTAAGCCCTGCTGAATGATGGGTAATCGAGAGTCGTGGGAGAAGATCAAAGGCAAGCAATCCCTGAAGTCCCCATGGTGGACTCAGTGTCCGTCAAAGCCCAGAGCATGCATGTGAGGTGACAGCTAGGAGACTTGTGTGGAAACCAAGACCCCCCCCCCCTTTTAGTGGCAACACCGCCAAACATTTCACAAGCAATAAATGTGTTGGTGGTGAATCCTCGCAAGCCTGCATTGATGGTCCTTCAGCATCTCAGCATTGTTTATATGGAGGCATAGACTATTTCATGGTGTATGCCTCCATATAATGATTAGCTCTGTGTTTAAGTCCTAAGGGGGGGAAAGGGGAATAGCTTCTATATCAGCAATGCAAAAAAAACCAAACAAAACAAAGATCAAATGTGTTTTTGGACTCAGGTCAGTACAGAGATGCTCACTTTAGATAAACACAGATTAGAAAGCAGCTGCTCCGGGCTCATTAGCTGTTTATGGTATGTATGTACAAAAGTGAAGCATGTCTGCCAATTCCTATTTTCTTTTTTAATGTGAATCAGAGACCAGAGGGCACAACCTCCTGCCCCATCCCCAACAGCACACCCGTCTTGCCCAGAGTGCCTGTTGGCAGCAACAAAGAGGCTGGGCAAAGGAAAGCCCAGGCCTGATCATCGATAGGAGAGAGGCAGAGGCACAGGAAGCAAAGCAGGAGACAAATGGATCAACAGATGGTCTCCTTCAGACGCATCCCTGAGGATGACAGAGCAGCAGGGCACATGCAGAGAGAGAGTGAAAGAGACAGGCAGAGGAACAGAGACGGACACAGACAGAGAGAGAGGAGAGAGGAGGACTCCAATTGAAGAGCTTTTCCTTTTCTATTTCTCTTGCGGCTCCTCCTCGCGTTCTGTCCTAACTAAAGGACAACAGCTTTTACAACCCTCTCCCGGGTGCTGCGGCAAGAGAGAGACGAGACGTGAGTCTCCCAGAATAACCCTCATTTGCGAAATGGTTCGCACTTCACCAAGTGTATGTCAGATGGGTTACGAAATGTCAGGAGACTGGCACGTGAAAAGGATTCTGTGCAACTGTTAGCCTAATTGAAAAGATATAGTAAACATTATCCATTTGGCATTGTAATATGAGGAATTACTAAATGACAAAATGCAAATCATTAGAGTTGGATCCCCAGCTGGCAGAATAAAGCACTGCTCCAGTCTCTAGTCTTTTGTGACTTTTTGTTTAGCCTTGTTGATTTCTCTGCATCTATAAATGAAACTGGTCATTAAAATGTAGAGGTGGAATCCAATATCTTAGACAACAAGACATGCTGCAGGCACCATTTAAAAATATATCAAATGTAGCTGCTGGTTATGTTTTAATTGGAAAGGTGACAGAAAGTATTTTCTTCGGAAAACAATTAAGATAGCAAAGTAATTGTTTTTATGCATGGCTATTTCTATTTTTTACATTTATAGCAGATTGTTGTGTTTATACTTGTGCTCTGGAGGTGTTTTTTGTTTGATGGCAACTTCTTTACGTCCATCACCTATGCATTACCTCTGGACATTCAGTCTACTGAATAATGAGGCACAGGAACTGACTATTTCAATAATGACAAACAATACAGTTTCTCATAGTCTCTACTACGAGTTTCCTAAATTTCCTTACTCACCAAGGATTTGGTTATAGATTTCCAGATCTAGCAGATGATCCCTGTCTCATCAGCACTGCGTGGGCTTTGGCTGCACATGAACCGTGATATGCAGTGCACTATCTGTTCACAGCTCACTCCTACACAGGACCTTGGGATTCTGGGCTGCAGCTCAGTGCTACTGAACTATTTGGTCAGACTGGTTATGTGCTTGACTGTGCTACTCAACCTGACATTTAATTGAGATTTTTACTACACACTAGGTGCCGCTTTACAATAAGCATTTCATTATAAAGTGCAATCATATTATATCCATCTTTGTTAGCTGCATGAATTCAAATTAATATGCAAATTCTCTTTTAAATGATCTGACCAATTAACTTTGGCACAAACAGTACACACAATTACAGTGTCCCAAGTCAAGTTGATTCAACAAACATAAAACAACCATTAAACTGTAAATAGTTCTAGTTGATCTGATACTTTGAAAGTAAAGTACATACAAATTAATTTGTACTAATTTATTTTTCTCTGTGAAATTATTAATCTTGCCTGTTGTGAGTTTTGTAACAAACTGTAGATTGAATTCGGAATGTTTTTTCCATCCACTCTCAATAACCAAAGCAAAGCCCAAGCCTTCAGGCTGAACACCAACATCATATGGATTGTCTAATGTTTTTTTCTCTTAAAAAACAAGATATTGTTATGTATATCAAGCACAAATGTTTTGTTTGGATAAAGGAAATAGGCACATCAAGAAAGGGAAAATGCCCTGAAGTTGAAATACACTGGAGAAAAGGAATCTGGAATATAACTGATCTTCATTTAAATCAACCTATGCCAAATCCATAATGTATTTAATAAGATCTGCTGACAGAACAGGTTATATAAGCACCACTTGCAAAAGGTCATGTCAACAAATAACATCTCAAATAGTCTTGAAACAAAGATTTCCAAAAACGGAATCTAACCTGTCTACACATGTCAGCTGTATTAGACATGAAATTTGCATGAGACTTCCTTATTCACCGCAAACAAACTGTATGAGTTAATAACAGTGATTCTGTGCTCTTTCTCTGCATGTTAGAACTGTAATTTGTCCTGACTGATTACATGATGTGTTTTTGTACCGTGTCTCAAAGCTGTTCTTCCTTGACAGTGATGTGGTGCACTTCAGCTGTATGAAGAACTGATATTTTCTCCTTGTGGCAGCACAGAGTCAGAGATTCAGTCCTGATCTCAGCCGGAGTGGCAGCGGTGACCATGGTCTGGTCGCAGCCAGGTCAGGTCGCACCTGTCACCTTGCATCGTCCTTGCCGGACAAAACACTGTGTGTATGTAGTACAGCTCCCCCTACTAGGAACTTAGCTGGCCTTGTCACCTTAACATGACCAGAGGGTCAGTGAATGTATACGGCATGACAGCGTCCACTCTCTGCAGGGTTTGAGCTTCAAGCCACTGTGCCGAAAGCAATACATGAGTTGCAGACACCGATGTTCAGAGACCACGAGATCACTGCTCAAATCCAACACCTTTCTATTTCCACACATTTTCACACACCAGCCACAATCATTGCATCACCTGAGTATCTGAGAAAGTGAGTTTATTTTTCCAAAAAAGCCAGCGCCGAGCGTGATGCCACATAATGCATTTTGCGCCTGGATCATATTTTATCAATAAGCACGCGCCACTATCTTGGTCCATACTAAGCGTCTTCGTTTCCTCCTGAGCAGCGGCAGTGATTTCCTTTAGCCATGCCTCTCAGCATTGATATTACTCTATTGATTATGATTTAAATGTCTGTTTCCTATACGGTGGGCTATAACTCACAGTGTAGCGGAAAGAGGTGATGATAATGATCGCTCCGACCCCAGACATCTCTCTTAGCCTGGTCTCTCAGATAATGGAATGTGTGTAAAGTAATGGCGGAGGGTGAGAAGGGGGTGAGGAAGGGTGAGGGGGAGGGCAAAAGCTTGTTATTGAGCTAAAGAGTGGGCTTACATAGGGACAGATGGAGGGAACGGATAGGGAGGAGAAGAGGAAAAGAGAGGAGGAGGAGAAGGAGGATGGGAATAACAGCGGTGACGTAACTGAGGGAATGTTTTTTGGCTTTTTGCTAGATTCATTCTCACTTTTACTTTGCCTGTTCCCTGTTTCTTTCTCCCTCTCATCCTCTCCCTCTTTGGGGGTGCCGGTTAACAAGGCCGTCTGTGTCCAAACTCTCCTTTGGTACTCCCCCCCTCCGTCTCCCTCTTGCCCTCTCCCTCTATCTTTTCTCCCCCCTTCTCTTCTCTGGGGAAATAAAGGCCCACACAGTCGCAGCCTTGACAGCCTCCCCTAAGAATCCCCCACTACAAAAGAGCTCCAACTTCCCCCCAGCCAGGCCTGGGCTGAATGGGAGCCTCTGGGGTGTGGATGAGAAGCTGAGGAGGGAAGGGGCCACCCTCCACACAGCCACATAAAGGGCCTGTGTGTTAGGCTCACGATGAGCAAGGGACATACCCAGCGGTTCATCCTCAGCACAGGGAGTCATTCCCACAAGATTTTTCATCGTCTTTTTTTAGGGCGAAGATTTCAGCACGCCTACAAGACTTGGAAAAAAAAAAGGAAAAAAAAGGTGGGAGGGTGAAGGGAAGGGGGCAGAAGGGGGGCGTGGGCCTGAATGAAGGTGATTGCCACTTGGA